ACCAAAGTCATACTAGAGGCAAAATTCAAGATCAGGAAGTCTAACTAAAGTTGAATTTTTATATTACATAACATCATTACTAAGTGATGAGATTTTTTGCATATCTCAAACTACATTCGTATAAGCAGACTGAAAGAAAATACTTTTCTACAAAACTGGGACAAACAGCCTATTTTGTATTAATACTCATCTAATGACATTTAAGCCCATGGCATGTGTTTGCATATTTATTTACATTAGCATAGACTGGAAAAGGAAAAACAAGCAAAAGAAGCAGTATTAATAATACCAAAAACAGAGGCAAACCTTTATTAAATATTTACTACACCAGACACAGTGGTCAGCAATTTTCAGGCATTATTGGTTTAATTATCTTCCAAAATGTTGATAGATGTCACTTTTTGTTTCATCTACTCTTCCCAAATTATAAAACTAAAGATTGGATAAAATAACTTTTTGGTACATTAGGTGCTCTTTGGAGTCTCATGCTAAAGATGTGAGGTGTGAGAGGAAGGGATGAGCCAAGTACTTTGTCTTAAGGAACTGTAAGGCCAGGGTTGCCATTTCCCGAGATGGGATAATCTTCTGAGAAATTAGAAGAATGGTTGTGGATGTGTTTATTTGAGGTGTTTATTACATATCTAAATGCACACATCCAAGAGAGGAAGAGATGCAGTGTACAAATCGGGGGACTGGTCAAGGCAGGGGCACAGAGAATCCCTTCCGAGTGAAAGGTGGGAAGTCAGAGGACAGGCTCAGAGGCCGGGAACATGCGATGAGAGTTTTTGGAAGTTCTTGACTGGTGGCTCTTATTTCCTCAGTGAAGAGTGAGGAGAGCAATTCAAGGTTGGTGAGAAATGAGAGGTGTGAAACAGATATGGAATGAATTTTGGACATATAATTGGATTTCTGGGCAGTAGTGAGGGACAATTTGAAGTTCACAATTATTAATTTAAAGTGCAATCAGACAGCCTGTCTGTTTGGGGATTTTTCCCTTGACTTTCTATGTTCATGCACAAAGTACAGTTGGATTTGAAAACGATTGAGGTTTCACCAGACAAGAAAAGTGAAGGAACAGATAGATGGACAAAGGATTTCAGAGTGTGAATAAGGGCATTTTGATGTTGCCAAAATTGCCAAACCATTGGATCATAGAAAAAGCAAGAGAGTTCCAGAAAAACATCTGCTTTATTGACTACGCCAAAGCCTTTGACTATGTGGATCACAACAAACTGTGGAAAATTCTTAAAGAGATGGGTATACCAGACCACCTTACCTGCCTCCTGAGTAATCTGCATGCAAGTCAAGAAGCAACAGTTAAAACCAGACATGGAACAAAGGATTGGTTCAAAATTGGAAAGGAGTATGTCAAGGCTGTATATTGTCACCCTGTTTATTTAACTTACATGCAGAGTACATCACGCAAAATGCTGGCTGCATGAAGCACAAGCTGGACTCAAGATTGCTGGGAGAAATATCAATAACCTCAGATATGCAGATGACAACACCATTATGGCAGAAAGTGAAGAGGAACTAAACAACCTCTTGATGAAAGTGAAAGGGGAGAGTGAAAAAGCTGGCTTAAAACTCAATATTCAAAAAACTAAGATCATGGTATCCAGTCCCATCACTTCAGGGCAAATAGATGGGGAAACAATGGAAACAGTGGCTGACTTTATTTTCTTAGGCTCCAAAATCACTGCAGATGATGACTGTAGCCATGAAATTAAAAGACACTTGCTCCTTGGAAGAAAAACTATGGCCAACCTAGACAGCACATTAAAAAGCAGAGATATCACTTTGCCACAAAAGCCCATCTAGTCAAAGCTATGGTTTTCCAGTGGTCATGTATGGATATGAGAGTTGGACCATAAAGAGAGCTGAGAGCCAAAGAACAGATGCTTCTGAACTGTGGTGTTGGAGAAGACTCTCAAGAGTCCCATGGATTGCAAGATCCAACCAGTCCATCCTGAAGGAATATTCATTGGAAGGACTGAGGCTGACACTTAAGCTCCAGTACTTTGGCCACCTGATGTGAAGAACTGACTCATTTGAAAAGACTCAGATGCTGGGAAAGATTGAAGACAGGAGGAGAAGGGGACGACAGAGGATGAGATCATTGGATGGCATCACTGACTCGATGGACATGAGTTTGAGCAAGCTCTAGGAGTTGGACAGGGAAGCCCGCCATGCTGCAGACCAAGGGGTCGCAAAGAGTTGGACATGACTGAGCGACTGAACTGAACTGATAGGTATAGTGTTACTGATGATAATGATAACATAATGCAAACTTTGTGCTAGGAGGGAACTGTTCTCAGCACACATTATATAAATTATTTATTCTTCACAATAGCCTTATGTAGAATGTTTAACTACTAGTATTGTGATTTTATAGATGAGTGAACTGCGGTGAAATGATTAAGCAAATTTTTGTAAGTTATAGATAGTAAATGGCAAAGGCAAGATTTAGTCCTTTAACTCCAGGTAGTCTGGCTCAATATACCAATACTTCCATACTGCTATGAATAAATGTGGAATCAATGAAATAAGAAGAGAGTTAAGAACATGAAAAAAGATTGTGGAAGGATCAGTGGACTGTAGTTTTCAGTGGAGTAAAAAAGAATAAATGCTAGAGCTGGGGGTCTTCAATAATGTTCAATAAAAAAAATTGGAAGTGTTAGTTCGAGAGTGGAATTCTTGGAATTAAAAATTATGAAGGAAGTGCATATATTTGAAATTATGAAGTCTAAAATATAATTATGCAGAAGGGTGGTTAACATAATAGAATCAGATCACTGGAGGATAAGAGATTAGGACACACGAGACCAAACTATTGGAGATATTATTTACAGAAAAACTTAAATACTGAAGACAGAACAATTTGAAGGGAGACTAACATAGATCCAGGGGCTAAAATGTTCAGGAATAAAGGGGGTTGACATTCTAATGGTGACTGATTGACAGAGTTGGCAGATTTAGCAAATGAAAATATAATATGCACAGATACAATCTAATTTCAGATAAGAAAAGTAAATTTTCTTTTAGTTCGGTTCAGTCACTCATTTGTGTCCTACTCTTTGCAACCCCATTAACTGCAGCACACCAGGCCTCCCTGTCCATCACCAACTCCTGGAGTTTACCCAAACTCATGTCCATTGAGTCGGTGATGCCATCTAACCATCTCATTCTCTGTTGTCCCCTTTTCCTCCTGCCTTCAATCTTTCCCAACATCAGGGTCTTTTCAAATGTGCCAGCTCTTCACATCAGGTGGCCAAATATTGGAGTTTCAGCTTCAACATCAGTCCTTCCAATGAACACCTACGACTGATCTCCTTTAGGATGGACTGATTGGATCTCCTTGCAGTCCAAGGGACTCTCAAGAGTCTTCTCCAACACCACAGTTCAAAAGCATCAATTCTTCTGTGCTCAGATTTCTTTATATTTTTCAATTTTCTTTAAGTATGTCCAAATATTGTATGGACATACATATACCAAAAAATAATGTGTCATTTACCTGAAACTCATATGTATAGCTGAGCCTCCTATATTTTATCTGCCAATCTTACTAGCAGAGTCAGCATCTGAATTCAGATTTTTGCAACTCACAAATTTAGTTCCTAAATCTTATAACATATTTTATTGTTAGTATTAATTCAATCAGATAAAGTAATGAAAAAATCTTATCAAATCAAAATTATACTCCTAGTTTGCTAAATTAGAGCAAATGTATTTCATGATCTTAAGTATGATACTCATATATTAATATATAAATAAACATGGCATTTTATGAAAGCAAAAGCATTTTGAAAGTATGACTGTGATCTAAAAGTTTTATCACTAGTTATGTGTGTAGTGAAATATTAGTGGGTAGGCCCTCTGATGATCCCTGTTGTTAACACAGTTTCGAGAATAAGTCCAATTATGGTGACAAGAAAATAGCTATGCATTTCACAAATTATCTTTCATCTTTGACATAAATGGAAAAAGAGTTCTCTCAGTAATTCCATAGTTATATTTAAAACAATTTAGCATTGTGTTTGAAGTTACGCAAAAAAGCTGTAGGTACCACAGTTTGGAATCAATCAGTGCTATAGTAATATCTGTCATTTAAATGTGGTTTTTGTGGCTTTTTTTCCTTTTTCCATGCTATTTCATGCTATCTCATATTTAATTTAAATTCTTTTTGAATGATGTACAAAAAATCAGGAAAGTAAAATATGTGTACAAAAGAAGAATAGAAATCTAAATTCAAAATAAATTAAGTATACAAATATTCTTACATAATGATTTTATAATCTACTAGGAGTTTTAGTGTTTTCATATTATGGGCTTTTCCTTAAAAATATGTAATTAATATAGGAAATACACATGGATTATATACTGAAGATATATTTCTAACAAATTTTTATAAAATCAATATTAACAATATTTAAAGAGGTTTGTGCAAATAATATTTGTTTATTTTTCAAAGAAATTTTACATTAAACATCCCAATGATTTCACAAGTCTTTGAAGAAGATACTATAGATGTAATAATCTCTTTGTTGCAAATAATCAAGAATAAACGTAAAGCTTAAAATGTGACACACCAACCAATAGGAAGTTTCATTCAAGGATAGGTACTCTCATTGCTTCTGTGATCTTTCTGCTCCAATAACCTACATCCTTAGATGTTCCTGTTTGATGCATACTTTGCCACATTGTTTCTGTTTTTATTGATATTATGATTAGCAGCTGTTAAAGATCAATTTATAATTATTCAAGCACACTAGTGAAATCTCGCAAAAACTTAATGAAAATATTAAGAAAGCATATTCTTGATATTACTACATCTAACCAAAACAGAGTAACTGGGACCAAATTTACACTCCTAATGAAAACAACCAAAACCAGAATACTTGAAATACCAACTTTCAGGAGACTGGGTACCAGTCAATAATAGAAAATGATCCCTGAGAGGCAGGATGCACTCCAGACAAAAAGTGAGCTCATTGACTTCCCTACTTCCTGCTGTGAGAGAGTTTGAGGCTGTGGGACGCAGGAAGTGAACCCAGGTAGTAGCCGGCAGACTCTGTGAGTGAAAATATAGGGAGATCAAGTGAATGGTGGTGTTGGAGAAGACTCTTGAGAGTCCCTTGGACTGCAAGGAAATCAAACCAGTCCATCCTAAAGGAAATCAGTCCTGAATATTCATTGGAAGGACTGAGGCTAAAGCTGAAGCTCCAATACTTTGGCCACCTGATGCAAAGAGCTGACTCATTTGAAAAGACCCTGATGCTGGGAAAGATTGAAGGCGGGAAGAGAAGGGGACAACAGAGGATGAGATCGTTGGATGGCATCACTGACTCAATGGACATGAGTTTGCACAAGCAGCTCCAGGAGTTGGTGATGGACAGGGAAGCCTGGCATGCTGCAGTCCATAGGGTCACAAAGAGTCGGACCTGACTGAGCAACTGAACTGAACTGAAGGTGGCCAGAGTTCCCAATATACTGGAGAGGAAATAGCTACTCAGAGAGAGAACTTCAGATATCTGTAGGCAGCTCTCTCAAGGCAGTCAGCTAAGTACTGATTAGTGCATTCATGTAGGAGAATACCCCACACCAGAAAAAGAACCACTTGAAATAATTAGAAGTAAATGATGAGAACCATAGTGAAAAGCATATGACTCATAGGTATGGGGTAAGAGAACACAGAAGGATCTTGCTTCAATTATGAGGATAATGATAGCCTTAGATCTAGCACTGCTCTGCTCCCATTTAAAAGAAAATTTAAAAACAAAACTGTCAAAAGTCAAACTCTTTCCAAGTAACTAAATTGTGTTCCAAAACAAAGTTGAAAATATTTATAATAATACAAAAATATCAAGCATCTAGTAAAATCCACAACGTCTGACATCCAATAAAAATCTGTCAAATGTGCAAAGAAACAAGGAAACACAACCCATATTGAAGATAAAAATCAATCAATCAAACAATACAAACTGACACAGATGTTAAAATTAGAACAAAATGACATTAAAATATTTTAACTGTGTTGCATATGTTTGAAAAATTATGTAAAGACAGATAAGATATAAAAAGGACGCTAGGGTTAAAACTTGAACTTTGAGGGATAAAAACTACAATGTGTGAGATACAAAATGTGCCAGATGGGAATGACAGCAGATAAGATACTGCTGCAAAAAAAGGGGAAAAAAATAGTACACTTAAGGTCATAATAAAATAACAATCTAAAATGAAACAGAATAAGAATAATAAGAACAAAAATGAGGAGAGTGCCAGCTAGCTGTGGACAATGTTATGTAGCCTAAAATACATGAAATTGTAGTTCCTAGAGTTAGGAAAGAGAGAGAGAACAGGGAAAAAAAAAAGATGAAATAATAGTTAAAAACTCTATAAATATGGCAAAAACTATAAACCCATATATCCAAGAAGTCAATTAACTCCAAGTCCTAAACATTGTGGCATATGATTACTAAATTGCTCAAAGACAGTGATAAAGACAAAATCTTAAAAATAGCCAGAGAAGAAAAGCATGTTATGTACAGAGGAACAAAGATAAGGATGAGAGCAGATTCCTGTCACTGAAGATAGTAAAACAGTATCATTAAGATGATGAAAGATAAAAATGGCAAATCTAGATTTCCGAATTCAACAAAAACATCTTTTGAAACTAAAGGTGGAATACTTTTCTAGACACACAAGATCTGAAAGCATTCAACACTAATAGACCCATGCTAACAGAAATGTTAAACGACTAGAAGTCATAATTTATGGATACATATTTAAGATTTTTTCTTATTATTTAAATCTCTTTAAAAGATAATTGACTAAGCAAAATTAATAATCATGCAGGGCTAGGTTTATAATATAAAAATAAAATTAACAAAAAATACCACAAAACTTGGGAGAAAGATGGAATTATATTATGGTGAAGTTCTTCACTATACATAAAGAAGTATTATATCAGTTGTGGAAAACTGTGTGAGATCAAAGACATAACTATAAAACCTAAAGTAGTCAGTGAAATAACAAAGATTTATAGGGAATAAACTAACAAAGGAGATATGGTACAATCATAAGCAATACTTGTTTAATTTGACTAATCTAAGAAAATTAGTCAAATGGATATTGACTAATGGAAAAAATAGAAAACAAATAATAATAGTTTTAAACCACTCAAATTACTAATCAGATTGAACTTAAATGGTCTTAACACTCTAATTAAAAGTCAAAGATTGTAAGTTTGAATTTTTTCTAAAGCAAGACCCAACTATATGATTCCTACAAGAAATGCCCACATGGAAAAAGAGGTCATTTCATAATAATAAACTGTCAATTCATTTAAACCAATATAATGATTTTAAACATTTACACACTTAATAACAAAGCTTCAAAATATGTGAACCAAAAACTTACGGAACTACAATGAGAAATAAATATTTTACAACTTTAATCAGAAATTTTAAGAACCTTCTTTTAATAACAGAAGACGGATAATCAGTAAGAATATAGAAGATGTGAATAACATTATCAACCAACTTATCCTAACTGATATTTATAGAACACTCCATCCAGCAACAAATATACATTATTTTTACATTCACATGAAAAATTTACCTAGGTAGCATATTAGGGGCAATGAAAGTGAAAGTGTTAATCACTCAGTCATGTTCCACTCTGTGATCCCATGGACTGTGTCTCACCAGCCTCTTCTGTCCGTGTAATTCTCCAGGTAAGAATACTGGAGTGGGTAGCCATTCCTTTCTCAGGCAATCTTCCCAACCCAGAGATCAAACTTAGGTCTCTTGCATTGTAGGCAGATTCTTTACCATCTGAGCCACTAGGAAAGCCCTAGGGGCAATAAACAAATATTAATAAATATAACAGAAATCATGTCATACAAAGTATGGTTCTCTACATAGTATTGTTAAATTGGAAATCAAAACAGAAAGATTTCTGGAAAATCACCAAATATTTGGAACAAAATAATATGCTTCTAACTAACTAATGATCAAAAAGAAATCACAAGGGAAATTAGTATTTTGAACTGAATCAAAATAAAAACACAAATATGTAAGCTAACTAAATGGGATACGGGTGGTAGTGCTTAAGGATGCATTTTCAGCACCAAATCACTATATTTAAAGAAGAAAGTTCTCATATCCAAAGCTCAGCTTCTACCCCAAAAAAACAGATAAAGGAAACAAGTTACAAATTCCTTTTTAAAAAGGAAATTATAAAGATCAGGATGAAAATTAATAAAATAAAAATTAAGAAATCAATGAAACCAAAAGCTATTCTTTGAGAAACTCAATAAAATTTATAAAACTCCAGCCATATTGATGAAAAAAGAGAATAAAAGAGAACATGAATCACTCAATAAGGAATGAAAGAGATAATATCACTACAGATACTAAAGCTATTAGAAAAGAAGATCAATGTATATTGCAAATAACTCTATGCCAAAGAACCCTCACAACTTTCAAAAAATTAAAAGGATAATTTTCTTAAAAAGCACAAACAAGATTTCAAGAAGAAATGATGTCTATTCAAAAAAAAATAGAATATGAAATTAACATACAGTGCACTTACCCAACAATTAGGATGGCTAAATGTAAAAGTGGAGAAGGAAATAGCAAACCACTCCAACATTCTTGCCTGGAGAATCCCAGGGACAGAGGAGCCTGCTGGGCTGCCATCTCTGGGGTCACACAGAGTCGGACATGACTGAAGCGACTTAGCAGCAGCAAAATGTAAAAGACTGGCCATATTGAGTGCAGGTTGTGTCGGAATGGGAACTCTTTGCTGGTATGGATGTAAAAAAGTATAAACCGTAGAGAAAGTTTGCCTTCCTCATAAGAAAGACAAACAGTCACTTACTCTGTGACCTAGCTACTCCACTCTTGAGTATTTATTCAAGAGATATGAAAGCATATGTCCATGCAAAGACCTGTACAAAAATATTCATCATGGCTTTATTCATAAAATCAAAAAGCTAAGAGCATGCAAATATCCATTGAGATGTATCTGTGCAAAAAGGCACTACTCAGCAGTAAAACAGGAATATACTACAACATGCATGGATCTCAAAATTACTATACTGAGTGAAAGAAGCCAGAAAAAATGATAGTCATACTGTTTGATTCCATTTATATAGTATACTAGAAAATACAAACTAATGCATAGTAAGAGAAGGCAGATAGGAGGTTGCCTGTAAATGGCAGTGGGAGAAAGCAGCCCACTGAGATAATTCATGAAAATATACCCACCCCAACTAAGAATAGAGGGCCAAAAAAGACCTTACAAGCTTCCAGGGAGAAGAAGCAGAAAGAACACATACAAAAGATTAAGTATCAGATTAAGTATTCTGCTCAGTAAACCATCACTGAGAATTTGTTCATAAAAATTCTGAAGAAAATTATTTCCAAGCAAAAGATATTTGTAGCATACAAAAATTGATATGCTGGTTTATATACATGAGAAAAGATCAACCCTACAAGGAAGGCATGGGGTAGGACAGAGTAGATCCAACATGGTGAAAAAGATGGACAAACACAGGGCCGGGATCAATAACCTCAGATATGCAGATGACACCACCCTTATGGCAGAAAGTGAAGAAGAACTAAAGAGCCTCTTGATGAAAGTGAAAGAGGAGAGTGAAAAAGTTTGCTTAAAGCTCAACATTCATAAAACAGATCATGATATCCGGTCCCATCACTTCACGGCAAAACAATGGAAACAGTGACAGACTTTATTTTCTTGGGCTCCAAAGTCACTGCAGATGGTGACTGCAGCCATGAAATTAAAAGACATTTGCTCCTTGGAAGAAAAGCTATGACCAACCTAGACAGCATATTCAAAAACAGAGACGTTACTTTGCCAACAAAGGTCTGCCTAGTCAAAGCTATGGTTTTTCCAGTAACCATGTATGGATGTGAGAGTTGGACTATAAAGAAAGCTCAGCGGCAAACAATTGATGCTTTTGAACTGTAGTGTTGGAGAAGATTCTTGAGAGTCCCTTGGACTGCAAGGAGATCCAACCAGTCCATCCTAAGGGAGATCAGTCCTAGGTGTTCATTGGAAGGACTGATGTTGAAGCTGAAACTCCAATACTTTGGCCATCTGATGCAAAAAAACTGACTCATTTGAAAAGACCCTGATGCTGGGAAAGATTGAAGGTGGCAGGAGAAGGGGACGACAGAGGATGAGATGATTGGATGGCATCACTGACTTGATGGACATGAGTTTGAGTAAACTCCAGGAGTTGGTGATGGACAGGGAGGCCTGGCATGCTGCAGTCCATGGGGTCACAAAGAGTCAGACACGACTGAGCGACTGAACTGAACTGAACTGA